GTTTTATAGAGCATAATGCGGCAAAGGAGTCATTAGGCTTATTCTATGTGCAAGACATTGGCACTACGGATATCTACTTGTTTAGGCTTTAACCTTTTCCTATTTAGTACATCGTTCGGAGTTCAACTTCAATCATATCAAACCCTGAGCCGGTTCATAGAGTTCAACAGACATTCGGCGACGATTAAATTGCCGAAGAAGATTAGGCTATGCACACCATTAGTTAAACAAATCGGACGTTTTTTGCCAATTATCTTTATTTGCATTTGCAGTAGGTTGCTTTAGCAGTGATTTACCGCAAGCTGTTGATTTAAGTTCCTTTTGGTTGCACTTAAAATCCACGCTTGAGCGTCCGTCCTTCAGCTATTTGCTTGTGCTAAATGTGGCTCACCGACGCCGGTAAAATCTTTTCGCAGTAGATCCTTCGCATCATCCTGTGAATTTAGTTGACCGATGATGATGCTCTTTCGTAGAAGATAAATGTGCTTAGAATGCGTCCGTTTAAAGTGGTAGATCAATTGAAGACGGTAGAGAGCTAGCGCTAGTAGCAGAAGCACAAAGAGACTGTAAAAAATACCCACTGCGAGGGCAGCTGGCTTTATTCGATTAATCCAATGAATGGACTCTTCAGCCATGTTTACTTTACTCTCTTCGCTGAGATAGAGATTGGCACGTTTGGTGTAAGACATTGAGGCTTCGTGAGCAGCTACGATGAGCTCCATGAAATTGTGGTAGGCCCAGACAGCAAACCCTAATATTGCTCGAGTAAGGGCTCCCCCGTCTATAACGCAGTCTTCAGGGGAAGTGGAGCCCTCTCGAAGAGTGGTAAAGCCAGCTGGACAATGCAGGCAGCCGGAGGCCGAAGGCCAACCCGTATCTCCGCGATAGAGCCCACGAGGACAGGGTGAACATGGGGCGAAGGAATAAGGCGTTCGCGGTGCCCGACCAGATGGACAAGCCTCACAGCTTAATGACACTGCAGACAATGCGTATGCGCTCTCACTGGGACTGATAGGCGACTCGTCTACACTTTGGACTGAAATGTTCATTGGATAATTGAAAACAATTTGAGGCAGAGGATTAGGTGGATATTTCAGTTGAGTTCCTGTAGGACAGATGACTTCGGTAAAAGTGGGAATAGAAAATTGAATCCTCATGGATATGTTATGAAAAGCCAGTTCTCGCGACACTGCTTTTATGAAATGTCTATCAAGCATGTTTTTTGTTACTGCATGAATGTATGAAAGGGTTACGTTGGCCTCAAGATTAGTTCTAGTTGGGTTGAGGAGTATGTTCACTGGATTAGAACTGAGATTAATAGCCAAGGACAGGAGAGTTTTGTGCTGGGAAGGAGTGGATGTTGTGATCTGATTTACAGAAACGGTTGCGCAGGGTGAGACTTGAAAATCTCTCACATGTCGCAATTCGCGACAAAATAGCTCGGCTTCATTACGCCACCAGTCAGGAATAAGGAGTTCCTTTAGCTGATGACGCTCTGGAATTATATACTTCCATATCACAAGAGGTTGAACATAGTGCATCAAAGAATACTGATTGTATACAAGCTCCTCTTTCATTGAGAATGGCCTTTCCTCTAGGGGTGCAGACTTCAGAAGTCCTGCACCCTGTGACCTGTAGGTCCGACAGGTAACCGTAGTCATGGTCTTTCGATAGAGTGTGTCCAGACTGCTGCCTAAGTCGATTGAATAAGCCTTCGGTAACTCTAGTGTCGTTCGAGCACCCTTGTTTTCGTAAGTGGAAGCTCGCGACAGCTCGTAGTCCATTTCG